TGCTGCTAGTGCTGTTGTTGCTACTGCTACCACTACTGCTGCTGCTGCCAATGCCGCCGCTGCTACTGTTTCTCCTGCTGCTGCTGCCACTTCTGCTACTGCTCCACCTCCTCTGCTGCTGCTGCTGCTGCTGCTGCAGCGGGCTGCGCCACGACTACCTGAGCTGCATGCTGCACCGTTTGTGTCTGGCCCCGGGGCAGCAGCTGCTGGCCCTCGACCACGCCCTGGGCCTCCCCACTGCGGGGGCCCTCTTGAGAGTCGGAAGTGAGGGGCCCCCCGCACTCCTGCTGCTGCTGCTGCTGCTGCTGCTGGTGTTGCTGCTGCTGGCGCTAGTGCTGCTGTTGCTGCTGGTGCTGCTGCTGCTTCAGTGCTGATGCTGCTACTGATGCTGCTTCTGCTGCTGCTGGCTCGTGCTACTGCTGCTGCTGCTGCTGCTGCTGCGGAGACAAACGTAGGCGGAAGCAGTTCAAGAGGCGCCAGCAGCAAAGTATCTGCAGCGCGGGGCAGCAGGAAAGTTGCGCCTTGTCTCCTAATTTTTTATTTTCTTATTTGTTCTATTTGTTTTTATTTTTTTTATTTTTGTTTTTTGTTTTTTTAGATCAAGGAAAAGTCTTTAGGCTGCTGGAAGCAGGAGCAGCAGCAGATAGGGCCCTTAGAGAAGCTGACCTTCCTCCGGCTCTTTTGTCTTGTCTTGTAGACGTCAACATTCACCACGTGGGCCTAGGCTTTAGGGTTTAGGGTTTAGGGTTTAGGGTTTAGGGTTTAGGGTTTGCAGCGGAAAGGGGTGCTGATGGAAAGGGTCAGTCACGGCTAGGGGTTTAGGGTTTAGAGTTTAGGGTTTAGGGTTTAGGGAACGAGCGCAGTTGGTAAAAGAGCAGGATTGGGGCCTTGTGATGGTGGCTAGAGTTGAGGGTTTAGGGTTTAGGGTTTAGGGTTTAGGGTTTTCTGTTGTGCTGTTCCTCAGTTAATGGAGGTCTTCCAGGAACGGCAAGAGGGCACAGCGAACGCGACTGCCCCTAAGGGGCCCCCTGAGGGGCCCCCGGAGGGGCCCCCTCGGGGCCCCCCCAAGGAGGCGGAGCCCTCTGAGGGGGGCCCCGAGGGGCCTCCCAAAGAGGAGGGGCCCCCTGAGGGGCCCTCCAATGAAGCGGGTCCCCCTAGGGGGGCCTCTGATTCGGGGGGGCCCCCTGGGGGGGCCCCCGAGGAGACGAGGCCCCCTGAAAGGCCCCCTGGGGGGCCCCCCGGGGGCCCCCCTGAGAGCCCGCGAGAGAAGTCGGAAAGGATGCAGCAGCAACAGCAGCAGCGGCTGCGGGCGGAAGCAGCAAAGGCTTTCGAAGCAATTAAGGCTGGGGGAGGTTTAGATGGATTTGTTGCTGCTGTGTCTCCTTATAAAGTAAAAAGACAAAAAGGAGAAACTTCTTTTTCTGCAAATGAACTCTTCAACAAACTTCTCTTTAATGCCATTCTCCTCGCCCATAACTTCCTCAAACCAGGTCAGCCTCCGGCCCGCGGGGGGCCCTCAGGGGGCCCCCAGGGGCCCCCCAGGGGGCCCCCCAGGAGGCCCCCCAAGGCCCCACAGGGGGCCCCCAAGGTCTTTGGGGGCCCCAGAGGGGCCCCAAAGGCTTGTGGGGCTCCGTGGGCGCTACTGCTGCTGCTTCAGCTCTCGCTGCTGCTGCTCCTGCATCTCCTGCTGCCGCTGCTGCAACTGGTGCTGCTGCTGCTGCTGCTGCTGCTGCAGGTGGCCGCCTGGTGCTGTTTACGCAGGCGTTTGAAATGGCAGCAAATGTGCATTCGGCTCTTTGTGCTTCTCGAGAATTCGTGCATGCAAATTTAGAAGAACTTTTGCTGCGGGAGATACAGGCCAGTCTTTTTTAATTTATTTTTTATTTTTTATTTTTATTTTTATTATTCTTTCTTTCTCTCTTTCTCTAGTTTTTGTTTTGTGTTTTTCCTTTTTTCTCTTGTTCTTTTTTCCTTTTTTCTTCTCTGTTTCTCCTCTCTTTTTCTCTTTTTCTCTTTTCCTTTTTTCCTAGTTTTTCTTTTTATGTTCTCCTTTTTTTTCTATTTTTCTCTTTTCCTTTTTTTCTGTTTTCTCTTTTTGTCAAACTCTCAATCACTTTTTAAATAAATAACTGCATTTGTTTGCTCTAAACAACTATATTTCACCTTTATTTCTAAGTAAATAATTCTATTTGTTATATCTAAACAATGATATCTCTCATTTCTAGTTTATTAAATATATTTCTTATTTCTAAATAATTAAATGTGTTTCTCATTTCGAAATGAGTCCATTTCTAAACAATAAATTCTGTTTCTTATTTCCAAACAATTAACTCTTAGCTGCAGCAAATTCGTCTCTTTTTCCTCCACCTGGTTCCCGCGCTGCAGCAGCGCCTCGCACTGCAGCAGCAGCAGCTGCTGCTGCTGCTTCTGCTGCTGCCTCTGCAGGCGCTCTCCCTTGCAGCAGCAGCTGCAGCAGCAGCAACTGCTGCTGCATCTGCTTGCGCTTTAAAAAGCAGCACCAGCTGCAGCAGCAGCAGCAGCTGCTGCTGCTGCTGTTGCTTTTTAAATTTAATTTCTTTTAATTTTTCTCTTTTGTCCCTCAGGTCATCCCCGGGCGAACTCACCCCACAATGCAAAGTGTCATTTCTGTCCCCAGCGGATTTATTGTCTCCGCCATCAAAATCAATTCCTCCCCCTAACCACAAAAAGGCCCCTCAGGGGCCCCTGGGGGCCCCCTATGGGGCCCCTGGGGGCCCCCTATGGGGCCCCTGGGGGGCCCTCTGGGCCCCCTACAAACTCCCTGGGGGTCCCTCTGGGGCCCCTACGAGCTCCCACGGGGGCCCCCTGGGGCCCCTACCGGCTCCCTGGGGGGCCCTCTGGGGCCCCTACAAGGCCCCTGTGGGGCCTTTAGGGAGCCCCTGTGGGATCCCCTTTGGGGCCTTTAGGGGGCCCCTGTGGGGCCTTTAGGGGGCCCCTTTGGGGCCCCCCACAGGAGCCCCCCATAAGGACCCCCTACAGGAATCGCTGTGGGGGGCCCACGGGGGCCCCAGGAAAGTCTGTGTGGGTCTTTTGTGGGGCCCTTCATGCGCCTGTAGGGGGGCCCCTGTGGGGCCCCAAACTCCCTCTAAGGGCCCTTTGGGTCTTCAAAATATTCTGCAGAAGAGCTTCAGAGGCCCTGGTAACTCTGGGGGGCCCCTTGAGGCCCCCAGAGCTGCATGTGTCCCTCCAATGTGCCTCGCAGGGCCCCCAGGGCCCCCTAGCACTCCAAGGGGCCCCCAAGGGGCCCCTGGTGAGCCCCCAGGGGGCCCCTAGGGGGCCCCAGGAGGGCCCCCTCGGGGCGTCCCTGAGTGTGGGGTGTGTTTTCTGCTTCCCTTGCTGCGGGGGCAGCGCAGCAGCAACTGGCTTTGATGAAGGCGTCGGCGGTAGCAGGGTTTGCGTCGAAGGTTTAGGGTTTAGGGTTTAGGGTTTTAGAGCGGCCAGCGGGCCTTCATGTGGTCTTTAAAGAACTTTTGAATTATCCAGCGCTCGCACTGCTGTGCCACCTGGTGTACAGACACCCCAGACACACGCAGGACCAGCAGCAGCTGCTGCAGCAAAAGCACTTTATTTACATAAATTTAAGTAAATTCGAATGAAATAGAACAAATGCAAAAATACAAAATAAACTAAAATAAGGCACAAATAGTGCAGAAGACACTAGAGAACAGACACAGACAGAGGCTGCAGCAATCCCAGGCGCACCAGCCCAAACTGCCGCAAATAAACGACACCCCATTAGCAGCAGCAGCAGCAGCAACGGCAGCAGCAGCAGCGCAGCACTCGCTGCAGCGGCACCAGTAGCAGCAGCCACAGCAGCAGCACCAGCCAGCAGCAACAGTAGTCGCAGCCCCAACAGCAGCAGCGGCACTACTACTAGTACTACTACTACCACTAGCAGCAGCAGCAGCAGCAGCAGCAGCCGCAGCAGCAGCATACCGAGTGCAGCTCCGCGGGCCCCACACCAAGCTGGTCTGCGACTTTCATAAGAGCCACAGAATACAAAAAAGGAAACCGACCTGTAGAGACACCCCAAACGCAGCAGCAGACCTGCAGTGTCTTGACAGGAGACAGAAGCAACAGCAGCAAACCTCTGCTGCTGCACGGGCTGCAGCAGCAGCAGCAGCAGCACTGCCCGCAGCAGCAGCAGCACCACACGCAGCAGCCGAAGCGCTCCCCGCCACAGCAGCAGCCCCACCTGCAGCAGCAGCACTA